GGAAGACAAACTGCACGACTCTAGAGAGAAATCAAGCAATATGGATTCAGGTACGCTTCCGCTTACAGATTTATTAATTCTTGATGATCTAACATGAATGTTCTTGACTTTTAGGTGATGTTTTTCACCAAATCATTGATTTCTAACAACTGGTATCAGAGCCTCTTCATGTTGAATCATTGAGAATCAAATTTATTATCGATCTATCGTGATATGTTTGGTGTTCTTGAATTTAACAATTTTTGTTCTACGGTTGTTAAATTTGAGAACAATTTTTCTTACGGTTATAGAACACTTTTCGGATAAGTTTGGGAATTTGGGTTTATTGAACCCAAATCAACACTTTGGCTGGTGGTAGTCTTTGCCGCCGCCGGCTCTATGGGTAAGGTGCGGCCTTTGGCTACACCGGCAAGGGACAGCCACGGCAGAATGGAGAAAGCGGTAGCCATAGCTGCCGCATAAGGAATTTTTTTTTTTTTAAAAAGTTTCTTTTGGATATTGAGCCGGTAGCTGTCTTTGTTGCCGCCGGCGTCTAAGTATTCCGGCGCAGCTCTTGGGTGGCCGAAAAAGATGAACCTCGGCCGTCTGGCCGAGGTTTCTGCAACTGGCTGCCGTTTGGCTGCTAGTTCACCTAGGGGTCGAACAGACCCCTAGGGTTTGAGATGCATGGGCCCAATGGGGCCCATGACAAGGTGACGTGGAGAGGTACAAGGTGCGTCTTGTCGCAAATGGCTTTACACAGAAAGAAGGCATCGACTATAAAGAGACTTTCTCTCCGGTCTCTTCGAAAGACTCTTTTAGGATTATAATGGCATTAGTGGCGCATTTCAATCTTGAGCTACATCAGATGGATGTAAAGATAGCGTTTCTCAATGGAAACATTGATGAGACAATTTATATGGTGCAACCAGAAAATTTTGTGTCGGGAGACCCAAAGAATATGGTTTGCAAACTTAAGAAATCCATCTATAGGCTCAAACAAACATCTTGACAATGGCATTTCAAATTTCATCAGGTGATCATCTCGTTCAGTTTTGAGATGAATTTGGTCGATGATTGCATATACCAGAAGTTCTGTAGGAGTAAGTATATTTTTCTGGTTTTATATGTCGGTGACATTTTGCTTGCTAGCAATGATATAGGCTTATTGCACGAAACTAAGAGATTTCTAGCTAAGAATTTTGAGATGAAAGATCTTGGTCACGTCTCTTTTGTATTAGGCATACAGATACACCGAGATCGCTCTCGAGATATTCTTGGATTATCACAAAAGAGCTATATCGAAAAGATTCTCAAGAGATATAGCATGTAGGATTGCAAACCAGGTGATACCCCTGTGGCTAAGGGAGACAAGTTTAGCCTCAATCAATGCCCTAAGAATGATTTTGAGGAAAAGGAAATGTAGAAGATTCCTTATGCATCAGCAGTAGGAAGTCTAATGTATGCTCAGGTTTGTACGCGTCCGGATATTGCGTACGTTACTGGAATGTTAGGCAGGTATTTAAGTAATCCAGGCGTAGACCATTGGAAAGTAGCCAAACGGGTCTTGCGGTACTTACAGAGAACAAAAGACTACATGCTCACGTATCGGAGGTCGGATCAGTTTGAGATCGTTGGGTATACTGACTCTGATTTTGCTGGATGCCTAGATAGTATGAAATCTACATCGGACTATATCGACCAGCTAGCTGGAGGTGCTGTCTCCTAGAAGAGTGCTAAACAGTCTCTTATAGCGTCTTCTACCATGACAGTAGAGTTCATAGCATGTTATGAGGCATCCAATCACGGAATGTGGCTGCGGAATTTTGTCACAGGGCTGCGCATAGTGGATGGCATTAAAAGGCCACTCAAGTTATTTTATGATAATAAGTCAGCAGTGCTGTATTCCAACAACAACAGGAGCTCGACGAAGTCAAAACATATAGACATCAAGTTCCTAGTTGTCAAGGAAAGAGTTCAAAGTGGACAATTGTCTATAGAGCACATCGGTACAAACTCTATGGTTGCGGATCCGCTTACTAAGAGATTGCCACCCAAAGTGTTTCATGAGCACAATGCTCGTATGGGTGTCATGTCATTAGAGGATATTCAGTTTTAGTGGGAGTTTGTAATTTTAGATGCTTCTATGATATAGACATACTTTCAGTTATATTAGTTTATGGATATTTTGCGGTTATTTTCCGCAGAAATAAAGTTTTAGTTTATTCACACTCTTATTTTGGTATGGCTTGATCTCACTAAGGTTTAAGGTGGACTAGTTGGGAATAGGCATGTTAAGATCACATTACATGAAATTTTCATGCTACACATCCACATCATAATCCATGTCATTCAGTTGTATTGGCATACGTGACCATTGATGGGTCGAGTTACGACAATTGTAACTAAGGCTACTTTGATCCTATGTTGGTATGATTGATAGACCAGATTAGTTACAAATACATTTCGGTAATGACAACAAAGTTGAGCTCATACGGTTATTTTGCAAAGCATAATTATAAGGTTACATATATAGCCCAAGTGGGAGATTGTTGGATCCTTAATCCAACATTGGGCTTATATGTGAATAATTATGTGTTGCGAGCTGTCATATAACCCAATTAAAAGTGATCTACTAAGGTTTGGGTATTTTGGGTTTTTAATGTATCTAATAGGGTGTGAACCTTTAATGTGTAGAGACTTAAGGGTAATTTTTATTTTTATGATGGGCTAAAATAGAAATACCAAAAGATAACGGGAAAGTTATCTATAAATGGCATTGATGGTCCCCAGATCACACGTATCATTTCATTCATTCTGACATCCCATCATCAGAAAGAGTACAGAGAGAAAGTTAAAGGGTTCTCTAGGAAAACGTGTTGATTTGGAAGACAAACTGCACGACTTTAGAGAGAAATCAAGCAATATGGATTCAGGTACGCTTCTGCTTACAGATTTATTAATTTTTGATGATCTAACATGAATGTTCTTGACTTTTGGGTGATGTTTTTTACCAAATCATTGATTTCTAATAAGTGTTTATATGTTGCCAGAGAGAAGGGGTGAGAAGAAAGAAAAAAGGGAAACATTTGGAATAAACTTTCGTCCCTTGCGGGGGGACGTCCCATGCTGACTTATTTATTTATTTATTATGTTAATGGGCTTAACATCCGTTTTGGGTGTTGTATTATTGCAGTGTGGATATAAAAAATGCTATATTTATATTTTAAGATTTATTAATTTTAAGTGTGGTCAACGAGTGAGTTGGCCCAGAAAAATCGAGTGATATGCAAATAATTAATTTTCATATTCTGTGTTTATGTGTTGCTGAGAAAGGGTGAGAAGAAAGAAAAGGGAGAAATAAAGTACACGTATTTATCTTTCTCTTTGATAAAAAAAAAAAAAAAAACGTGACCATTGATGGGTCGAGTTACGACAATTGTAACTAAGGCTACTTTGATCCTATGTTGGTATGATTGATAGACCAGATTAGTTACAAATACATTTCGGTAATGACAACAAAGTTGAGCTCATACGGTTATTTTGCAAAGCATAATTATAAGGTTACATATATAGCCCAAGTGGGAGATTGTTGGATCCTTAATCCAACATTGGGCTTATATGTGAATAATTATGTGTTGCGAGCTGTCATATAACCCAATTAAAAGTGATCTACTAAGGTTTGGGTATTTTGGGTTTTTAATGTATCTAATAGGGTGTGAACCTTTAATGTGTAGAGACTTAAGGGTAATTTTTATTTTTATGATGGGCTAAAATAGAAATACCAAAAGATAACGGGAAAGTTATCTATAAATGGCATTGATGGTCCCCAGATCACACGTATCATTTCATTCATTCTGACATCCCATCATCAGAAAGAGTACAGAGAGAAAGTTAAAGGGTTCTCTAGGAAAACGTGTTGATTTGGAAGACAAACTGCACGACTTTAGAGAGAAATCAAGCAATATGGATTCAGGTACGCTTCTGCTTACAGATTTATTAATTTTTAATGATCTAACATGAATGTTCTTGACTTTTGGGTGATGTTTTTTACCAAATCATTGATTTCTAATAAGTGTTTATATGTTGCCAGAGAGAAGGGGTGAGAAGAAAGAAAAAAGGGAAACATTTGGAATAAACTTTCGTCCCTTGCGGGGGGACGTCCCATGCTGACTTATTTATTTATTTATTATGTTAATGGGCTTAACATCCGTTTTGGGTGTTGTATTATTGCAGTGTGGATATAAAAAATGCTATATTTATATTTTAAGATTTATTAATTTTAAGTGTGGTCAACGAGTGAGTTGGCCCAGAAAAATCGAGTGATATGCAAATAATTAATTTTCATATTCTGTGTTTATGTGTTGCTGAGAAAGGGTGAGAAGAAAGAAAAGGGAGAAATAAAGTACACGTATTTATCTTTCTCTTTGATAAAAAAAAAAAAAAAAGTCTCGAAAGGATACGTGTTTAATTATATCGAATAAAACTTATATATGTTTGTGTGTGTGTCTGAGCAAATCAAGTTCTCTATATTTATATTCTTCTTTTCCCAGCGATATTCTCCCTAATACATATGTGCATCTAATATATATATATATATATATATTTTGTTTTTTTTTTAAAGACGTTAACAAATAAAGGTCTTTCTTTCTAATTGGTGGATCCCTTTCGAAGAATACTAGCATGATAATTCAATGTTAATAAAATTGTTTCTTAAACAAAATTACTAAATCCATATCCGATTCAAAATAACAAAAAAATTATACTAGTATTACGTATTAATCATCAGTACTCTAAGAAATACTTAAACTTCAATTAAAACCAATTTGGAAATGAGAGGATTTCAATTCAACGCCTTTGTGGTGGAGTGAACTCTACTCCACAAAAGTTATTCTACATTAGCAAATATAGCACAAATACGGGAAATATTTTTGTTGAGCAACTTAATAAACTAATTATTCATTATTCATTTAAAAATACATTAATAAGGGAAATTAAAACAACATTTATATATGGATGGATCACTGGGGAAGTTTGTTGAGCTTGCAGTAAGCGTAGTCTTTGAACATCTTAGACTTGTATTTTGGAGGGTTTTGCTCGTTCAGAAGCTGCGGAATCGGTCCGACGACGAACTCCGGTGGTGGCTCTAAGAATACAGGCCATGACATCCTTGCCTTCTCCTTGTTCACTGTGGTTCTATGGAGTACGCTCTTGTAGTATCCATTGCTTGCAATCTGCGCGATGCAATTCATTATTATATACATACACATATACGCTATATTTTGAAATTTGCTTCTTTGTATATCCATGGAAAAAAAAAAAAAATTATCATCGATATGGCCAGGCACTCATGCACACAAGCTGATATTTTAGGTGAGATCTATTTTCTATTAGTTATAGAGTTCCATACCAGTAATGCCACTAAAATATTTTTCATTGATAATTACTTGTAGCACTAAGAGCATCTCTAATACAATGCTATAATTAACGTGTCAATTGCAAATTTAGCGTTTGAGTGTAAAAAAATTCTTTCCAATGCAATACTATTTGTTGCGTCAAATTTCTCATATGCTATACTTTGTGACAAATGTCTCGCTAAGTATAGTATATGAGAAATTTAACATTTGATTGCTATTGGTTGAAATGTTTACTTTTTCATGTAATCAATGCAACTTTTACATTTTCTAATTATTTTAAACATAAAAATTTACTTTTACAACTTTCAAAGCTTAATAATTATGAAAAAAGTAGATTTAACATTTCAAATAGCATTATGTATTGGAGTAAAAATGAAAATAACATACTATATTAACTTTTTGATGATAATTAAATATACAATTGACATTAACACTTGGAGATGATCTAAGTCGCTCATATTAATAATAGTGTTAAAGTCATGCCAAAACAGTGGTCGTTGGTATAGCCTAGTTGTACCGCAACATGTTTGAATCCTTTAAAAAATAAAATAAATAGAAGTAAAGCAATAGATTAAAAAAAATAAAAAATTGATCCCCTCATCACATGCACAAAACTATTCAAGATCACACATAAATTCATAATATTTGTAAATATGCAAAAGTCATAGCAAGTACGCACTTCAATCTGATCGCCCATGTGTACGATAATGGCAGAGGGGATGTAGTTGGCGTCGATCCAATGTTCGTCTTTGAGAACCTGAAGACCAGGAACATCATTCGGAACCAGAATTGTTAGTGCCGACATGTCAGTGTGTGCGAGAACTCCGAATGTTTGATCTGGCCTCGGACACGGCGGATAGTAATTGATCTTCATCATGTACTCCAGCTCTTCCCCTCCATATGCCTCATTCATAGCATTCGCTTCCAACCCTAACCCCAGTGATAGACACCTGAATACTTTATCTGCAAACCCTCGTATATGCTTCGTGTACTCCTCGTTCGCCTCTCTAACAAAATATAATGATGATCATACATGGTATCTTAACAAACACAGATGTATATACAGTGGCGGAGCCAGATTTCTATTTCATTGTGGGCATATATTAAATTTTCATCTTAAAGTAATAAAAAAGGGTACAATTCGGTGGAAACTTAAAAAAAAAAAAAAAAACTGTATTTCAACAGGACAAAATGGAGAAAATCACAAATTTTTGATGATTATTTAAAAAAAAAAACTCATTGGAGGCAGGTGACCCACCCATCTGCTCTGCCACTTATGAGTAATGACTAATATATATATATATATATATATATATATAACGTATTACAGTTTCACTATATATTTAAAATTTTGATAAAGCTGTTTAATTCGTTTCATAATGAGTTTATTTTTTTTAAAGAAAAAATGAGTTCAGAGCCATGTAATATCAAATGAAATTACAAATGCACCTTTGCACGATAGGGATATATATTGTGCATGAATGGAGAAATAAAACATTTAAACACGGATATATATCTTAAAATACATATAAAGATTGATGAAAACCTGTAATCGGAAGGATTTTTGGGCCAAAATTGGCAGTTAATGCGAGAAGGAGGCCATATCCTGTGGAAGAGATGATCACCCCATGGTTTCTTTCCATTCTCGAGCTTTTGGTGTTTGGTGCCGTACCCTTCGGCGGACTGGGCATCACCCGGCTTGGCGTAAACCTCTTTCTCCTCCTGCGGGAGCCCGAAAAACTCCGTCCCCGCCTCCTGCAGCCTGCGTATGACCTCGGCAGGGATGCCGTGGTTCACCGCCTGAAAGAAACCCCACTCTTTGCTCGCCTCCGCAATGCGGCGGACTAGGTTTTCCTCGTCGGGATCGCTCAGATCTATGACGGGGATCTCCGGGATCGGGCCGCGGAATGTGGTGGCGACGGGCTGCTCGGTCTCTGGCATTACGAACTCCGCGGGGATTGTGTGGGAGCTTAAGGAAGCAATGACTTGGACTCTCTCAACCTCCATGGTTAACTGTAAGCTAGGGCAAAGCTAGTTCTTAATTTGTTGTGTTTAATGAGATATGCCAACAATTTTAATGTATTTATATACAAGCTATAAAATATGCGTATTGAGTTGGGTGCACGAGTTAGGTAGTAAAGTCTTAGAATGAAGGGTATAAAAGTAAAACCAACACGTAGATATAACCGGGTTTCTTTTTGAAAATTGACATCAATGTTTTCCCCCTGTTACATTTGATTACAACATAAATAATATTTTGGGTAAAATTTAAATAATTGTTGAAATATATCCTCATTATCCAAAACAGAATACTAAAATTTAACTACCCGACAAACTTTAAAGCTTTTATTTTTATTTTTATTTTTATTTCAAAGACGTAGTTGTCCATTTATTTTACCTTAACTCGTTCCTTTCGAAATATTAATGATTCCATTATCATGAAATGTGATTTCAATTTCTTAGTTTAGTTGGATTCTTAATGATTAATTTTACTGTTTCACTCATTTTTTTATATAAGTAAAACATTTTTTAAGGAGAGAGAGAGAGAGAGAGAGAGAGAGAACGTCCAATACAAGCCTAATTCATAAAAGATCTAGCAAAGAAAAATATAATATAATTGCACTAAATGTTTTATCTATCTTTACGATCTAACAAAATAAACACATATAAAAGAAGAAATAAGATTATTTCTTCAACTTAAAGCTCTTTCTACTAGGGCCTTTAAGTTTTATGAGAATTTTTCTTCTTATATAGGACTTGTATCTCATGTTTTCCTTAGAATATCTAATTCTTCTAATTAGTCATCCCAACATCTCGTGAATACAATATCCTTTCTTTCTTTCTTTTTTCCCTAATTAAGCAATTATGCCATTGTTGATCGGAAACATATTTTTCGCTTCTGGATTTTGATCTTAGAGAGGATCAAAATAACATTATATCTGACCAATCAGCAAATAAATTTATCTCTAATTAGGAGATATCCGATAGCAATCAGTCACTATATGTTCAATTGGCTTTCAAATGAGAAGAAAATAAAAGCAAGTACTTTTCATATTATATAGAAATGAAGAAATCAATTCTACCTTTTTTAATTAATATGTATCAGGAAAGCTCACGTCAAAAGATAAATCAATCTCCAAAGTTGTACGATCTATCTTCAAGGAAACGGTCTAATTACACCTTTACCAATATTTGTAATAATTTAACAATATCTGTAAAAATCAATAAGTTTTACATTGAGTGTTGGTAAATTTCTATCTATGTATATACAGAGATTAAAACATTCCTTACCAAAGTCCTTAATTTCTCGCAAAAGAATCGAGGTGTATTAATTGTATTAATCTAAATTATAAGTTTATTAGTACACTAGTCCGACATAGTCTATTAATTGTATTAATCTAAATGACAAGTTTTAAACTAACACTTGTTATTTTATTACAAATTCAGGCCTCATTCGCTTCGCGGATTCGAGTTTTCAATTCGAACTGAGATGTGACTTTTCCTGAGAGCTTTTAACTATAACAGAAAAAGTTAGATGTGATATTTTCTAAGAGTTTTTAACCGTAGAAACTTAAAATTAAAAACTTGAATCGGTGAAATGAACGATGCCTTAATATATTTATTATGTCACGTGTTAGCATGTGTAATTTACTAATTCAATATGTTATTATCGTCACATCTTGTCATCAGTCATGGTGTGTTCTTTTTTTACAACTAAAGTCACAACTCAAATTTTTTTATGTAGGAAAAAATACTGTAAGAAAAAAGTAAAATTTAAACTTTGATAAAGAGAAAATATTATAATAAAAGAACTTGAGTTATAAGTTGTAAAAAAAATAAAGCCTAAAGACTTTCACGTGCTAAATAAAGAATATTATATTTCGGCATGCAATTCTTATACATTACGATTTTACATATAATAATGCTGCCATGCATGTGGTTGTCTTGGGATATGTGTAATGAAAGTTGTTGGGCACGTGTTAGGGAGGGAAAGGGTCATTCTAGTTAATGTTAGTTACACATCTAATATTACAATGTGTTTAGAGGGCTAAAGGGTAATTCTCTACGTATTGACTATAGAAATCGAATAAAGATAATTTTTTAAAAAAGGAATTGTTGGATGCTTGAACGATATTGTGACACTTTACAGTTATTAGTGTCACCTTTTGGAAAGTAGCTAGAGTTTACTACTAAAGTGTATTGCATGTAACATTTTTTATTGTGATATAAACATGGATAATAAATAAATTTGTATTTTAGGGAATTTATTGGCTCAGTTACCATTTGCTCAGAACCATATTATATTGTATATTAGAAGGGTAATTATGTTATTATGAGTTCTGATTTTTCTACTCATAATATATTCTAAAATTTTTGTTTGTGACATGATAATGAAAAAAGTGACTCAACACAATGATTTGTATATGCTCAATGTAATTTGGTGAAAATGAAAGGAACAAAAACCGTTAATAAAGGCACCAGAATGTTAATGATCAGTATACTTATAAGATAAGAAAAGTAACATTTGTCACTCTCTTTAGGGGAAAAAAACAAAGCAAAAATTAAATTAAATTAAAGTAATAAATTCTACAAGTGCTAATGATCATCATGCTAGTAAAATTATACTATTTAATCAAAACAAAATCCACACATCATCATAATTGAAAATAAATAACACTACTCTAATACACATCAGAAATGCTTAGGTTACCTAAACCGAAATAGATGGCAACCAGCTAAAGTAGACTTTGTTTAGGTATAATTTTACGTTATGTTCATGGTGTGGATATATAGTAATGAATAATCATTTTTGAATGGCACTATTATATGGTACAGAACGAATCAAATAATACGGAGCACCTTCAGAGCAAAATAATAATAATAACAGTAATAATGATAATAATGATAATAATAATAATAATAATAATAATAATAATAATGATAATAATAGTGATAATAATAGTGATAATAATAGTGATAATAATAGTGATAAACAAAGGACCTATTCTATTTTTTTTTAATTTCCTCTAAATAGTATATTGATTTTTTTAATAGATAGCAGCCAACTTTCTTGTTAGACTAGATTTAGAGGCAAACTAGAGTGCCCTTAAACGCGTTAGTTCCGGTCACATTTTATCAAACATTGTGTGCGAATGTGCTGATGAATCCAGCACTTTTCTGGATATATACCGAATTTAAGACCACACACACACACATATATAGACACACACATACTTAGAAAGTAATCACTGTACTACAATTAAATTTGTTAGAGGGCCAATGATTGAATTTGAAGGATGACGTCAGTAACGCATAAGTAATGAAATAAATTAATAAAAGAAATAGGAATACAGAGATTTTATAGTGGTTCCCTGAAGGGTACGTCCACCGTAGGGTCTTCGATAGTTTCATTATGACTAAAGAAGATGATTACTAAGGTTCTCTCCATGAATACAAAGAGAAACAATATGAGAAAAATACTGAAAAGTATGTAAAAAGAGAGAAAATATACTTGCAGGGGTGAAAGCATGTGTAGGAATGCGTGAACCCCTGTCTTGGATGCCTATTGTATGAATTTATAGGCTCTTGGTAGCTAAAAATAAGCATTTGCGTAGTTTCTTGTTTAACTTTTGATTATGATCCTCTAGGAAATCTTTCCTTGCAGGGATGATGCTTAGAGATCAAGCAGGTGGGATGATTAACTTTCTCATTTGCTTTTTTAGACGTGATCCCTTTGTTTAATACTGAATACTCTTACTGGAGATGTGATCTTCGTACTTAATTCTCATATGCTGAGTTGACATGTTTGTTTGACTGCTCATCTGGCGAGCCGTTGGATTGGTCGTTCAGGCAGGGACCGCGCGAGGATATAGAATAGTATTTTGTCACTTATGCAAGTTAGATTATAGGTTTCCATTAAAAAAAAGAAAAAGGAAGAAAATGATAACGGACAATATTAATCATTAGAGTTAATCACATTAAGTCTCTAAATTTTACCTTCAACTCCGCTATAATCCTCGAGTAACCTTAATGATCATGAATCACAAAATTCTTACAATGTTAGATGTATAATTCAGTGCGTGATACTTGCAGCTCATGTGATTAGAAAGGTGCTAAGATAGAACTAAAATCACTTGCTTAGTACTAATGGATGTACTTTTGGAGCTCAAACCCTGAATTCAAATGCAAGAATGACGGTTATCCGCATAGAATAAAAACGAACAGAAAGTCTGGTGACTGATATATGTAGACTTTGAAAAGAATAATGCTTGCGATACCAATTTTAATTTTAACTGCATACCAACTCATGAAGTATATATCAAGTTCTATTGGTAAAGTTGCATACCAATAAAATTATGAACAATTAATGAGTTGGTAAAAAAAGTTGGGATTAATTAGAGTTGGTGTCCTTAATATTATTCGTTTGAAAATATATGAAGAAATGTGCTGGCACTTTATAAAATTGAGCGTGTTTAACGTTTCTTAAGGCATAATTTGGTATTTATGTACTTTTAATAGAAGAATCACTTTCATATGAAGCAAAGGTAGGAGTAGAAGTAGAATTTAAAAGTTTTAAATACAACTTCTCAATATAACTTAAAAATGTACATTGGTTTTTAGTGTGATTGCATCTTTTTGTGCATGGCGCTTTTACGGTCTAAATTGATAACGGTATCTCTAAGTCAAAAACATAAATCTTATAATAGCATTTTGTATTATTGACGAGTATTCTAAGAAATAAATAATGTGCAAATCGAATACACAACTAATTAGGAATCGGAGTTGAGTACATGAACTTTAAATCTTATGAATATCGCGGTAACTACTATACATATTTGCTCTAGCATATATAGATAAGATAGATAATGTTTTGTGAAAATTAACAAATTAATTAAAGAAGTGGCAGTTCTTCATTATTATTAATATTACACTAGTAGTACCTACTAATCACCAGCTTTCTGAGACATAATTAACATGTATACACTTTAATTAATACAAATTATTTGGGATTTCAACCCTCTACATCTTGTCGTGGTGTGAACTCAACACCAGAAAAGTTATTGATCTACATTAAGCATAGATAAAATACATATTCTATTGAGCAAAATAACAAAGTAATGAAAGAAATGGTAGCATTGCTGCATTATTAATGTATTAACGAGGGAAATTAAAGGAATAGGTATGAATGTTAATCATTGGGGAAGCTTGTTGAGCTTGCAGTAGGCATAGTCTTTGAACATCTTAGACTTGTATTTTGGAGGATTTTGGTCGTTGAGAAGCTGGGGTATGGGTCCCACCACAAACTCCGGTGGTGGCTCTAAGAATACAGGCCATGACATTCTTGCCTTCTCTTTATTCACTGTGGTTCTGTGCAATACGCTCTTGTAATACCCATTGCTTGCAACCTGCGCATGCAATTCTCATGCAATTAGTTCATATATATATATATATATATATATATGTATGTTCTATTTATAGTTTACTTCTTTCTTATATCCATTGAAAAAAATATATATCATAAATAGCTTTACATTTTTCTCTCTTTCCGTTTAGTATTCAACGTCACACACTCATGAATAAAGGTGGCGGCGACTCTCTATAATTAATTGTGGTGCTCAACGCCACAATTAAAAAAAAAAAATCATAGTTTAGCACCTAGTACGTACCTCAATCTGATCACCCATGTGTACGATAATGGCATTGGGGACGTACTTGGCGTCGATCCAGTGATTATCTTTGAGAACTTGAAGACCGGGAACCTCATTAGGAACCAAAATTGTGAGCGTCGACATATCAGTGTGTTCGAGAACTCCGAATGTTAGATCCGGCCTCGGACACGGCGGATAGTAATTGATCTTCAGCATGTACTCAAGCTCTTCCCCTCCGAATGCCTCTTTCATAGCGTCCGCTTCCAACCCTAACCCTAGCGATAGACTCCTGAACACCTTATCTGCGAACCCTCTCACATGCGTCCCGTACTCCTCGTTCACCTCTCTAACAATAACATAAAGATCAGCGATGATTTCTTAACATTTATCTTCACGTAAATAATTAGTAATGCCAATCTCAGGTAGGGGATAAAACGTATTTAGGTACAATTACGTCAAGCCATAGTTTTATAGTGAGTTTTTTTTTTCCCCTAATTTAGATTAGAACCATATAATATTAGAAAATTACAAATACGCCCCTGCACGGCGTGTATATATTTGTGCATGAATGGAGATATCAAAAAGTTAGCATGGATATATATATATATATATATATATATATGGATCATATATGTGCATGTAGAGAATGATGTAAACCTGTAAGAGGGAGGGTTTTTGGGCCAAAATTGATAGTTAATGCGAGAGGGAGGCCATATCCTGTGGAAGAGATGATCACCCCATGGTTTCTTTCCATTCACGATCTTTTGGTGTTTGGTGCCGTAGCCTTCTATGGACTTGGCATCCTCCGGCTTGGCGTAAACCTCCTTCTCCTCCTGCGGGAGCCCGAAAAACTCGGTCCCCGCCTCCTGCAGCCTCCGTATGACCTCGGTAGGGATGCCATGGTTCACCGCCTGAAAGAAACCCCACTCTCTGCTCGCCTCCGCAATGCGGCAGACTAGGTTTTCCTCGTCTGGATCACTGAGATCGATGACGGGGATCTCGGGGATTGGGCCGCGGAATGTGGTGGCAACGGGCTGCTCGGTCTCGGGCATTACGAACTCCGCGGGGATTGTGTGGGAGCTTAAGGAAGCAATGACTTGGACTCTCTCAACCTCCATGGCTACCAATAAGTTAAAGCTAGTTATTTGTTGTATATTTGTAGAATGCTAACGCTTGTTATGTGTTTTAATGAGAAATGCTAACGCTTGTTATCTATTTATATACAAACTATGAAAACGCGTTATTGAGTTTGGTAAGAGAGTTGGGTGCAAAATTCTTAGAATGACGGGTATAAAAGTAAAACCAACTGTAGATTCAATCACATTTTAAGATTAGATATTACCAGGTCAGCTCTATATAATATTTCTCTTCAGCTTTTAGGTCGACAAAAAAGAAACAATTTGTAGCCCCCTTTCCTTCCCCTTTCATATGTAAATGGTAGAAATATGACTAAAGACTAGTTTTTTGGGGTCATAATTGACCCAAGAAGATATAAATAAATAAATATATATATATATATATACATGTCTATGCATGCAATATATGAATATATACAACTTTACAACATATATTTGTATCAATTTAATATCTTGTATTACATTTAGATGAATCTTTTTTCCTCGTTCTTCTTGATTTGTTTTAAAAATTACATCAAAGTTTTGCCCCCTTGATTACGACATTGGTGCGACAAATAATAATTAGGGCAAAATTTAACACTTGATAAAAAAAAAATCCTAATTACCGGAATTGATTTCTTAAAGAGACCAGCTTGATGCTGGAAAATTGAACAATTAGAAGAGGTCATTCAAACATTTACGGTTTCAGAGTTGGCTA